TGCTCTGTGTTAAGAATGATGTTAGCTTCTCCCCTCTGAGTGTTGTCCTTGTCATTGTAGAGAACAGTGGGAATCTGGAGGAACTGGTCCAAGAGATCGGGGCTCTGAGGGACACGCTGGCCCAGCAGAGTGACTTTGTGTCCAGCCTAAGTGACCCTTTCAGCAGGAAAGGCTACTGGTATTACATGCCAGCAGCCCCTAATGTAAGCAACAGCTACAAGTCTCCTCAGGAAATTACTGTAGATGTTAACCACATAACCCTTCATTTACCATTGAGTCAAACTGTTGGCTAAAATAGGGATTGTTAGTATTATTTCCAGAGGAAAGCCGAAGTGCACAGAAATCTTTTTTGGGTATTTTTGAGAATGGCAAAGGGCTTTTATTCAAAGCAACGAGAAAGCTCAAGTTTTATGTTTTTTTTTTACGTTTGAAAAATGATTTGCATGAACAGTACATTATTTGAAAGACTTGTAATTAAGATTATTCACAGTGCCATTGAATATTGGTACTCGAACGTGGTCACACTTGTCATTTTCACACCCACAGAATGGAATGGTCAGTTTTCTGTTTAACATAACAGGAGTCTTGGAAGGTTGTAGTCTGAGATATCTGACTGTTTTATATACTTAGTGATCAGTAAACTAGCGTTTAAGAAATGAGATCTCTTTCTAGTTCAGTATAATAGTCATTGTTTTTGCAAAAGTGTCTAAACCTGCCAGTATTTCCCCTGGTTCCAGGCACCCAGTGTAGGCTCACAGAGTACTCATGACTCTGGCTTGGGCTCGCAGTACCCGGCCTCTCCTGAAAGGGGGCGCCGTCCCGCCAGGCCGAGTAGAAGAAGGAGGGGCCAGACTGCGGCCCCCGCTGCTGGAGGATATTGGATTTATTCTCCCCTCAAGAGTGGGACCTGGAAGACCCGTGGGTGCAAAGGTAACAAAGTCGTTCTTTTCCTAACCACAAAGCACTGCGACCGTGTGGTTTGCTTGATAAATACAAACAAGAGAAAAGAGCAAACTGCTGTTGTCTCTCTATCTGGCGATGAATATAAATGCCTGAGTCGCCAATTGATTTTGTAATTATCCTTTGTCTTTAAGCTCTTTTGACCAATTTTAACTCCTTAGTTCTGTATGTCTGAGGATAAGTACAAGGCGTGTCCACTCTTGGGTCGCTCCGAGTTCTAGCAGAGTATGCTTTGTTTTGGATTAGCAGGTGGGTTGATGGCAGACCATGACGGGGTTTAACAGATCAAGTCAGCTTTGTTTTGGTAGATGTTGGTTTCATGAGGAACACTAGTCAGTATGCGAGAACTGCCACAGTGATGGTATAAGAGGAGCAAAGTATTTAAACATGACCACATTTTATAGATGACATTAGCAAAAACGCAGAAGTTCTTGTGAGTTTAGTGACTTGACATTTGTGTCATGTCACAAGAACGTCCA